CCCTGCAATGCACATCCCATGCGGCCCCTCCAGTGCACAGGGCTCCTCATCGGCAGGTGGCTGGGAAACATGCTCCATAGCTTGGAAATTAAGCCACTTTCTGAGGTGCTGGGACCTGCATGTCACAGCCCAGCCGGTCCATGGGCCTGCTTACAAATCCACTTAGAAAGCTGAGTGCAGTTGGCATCATTCCACCACTTCAGCTCCAATGTGCGGGTCTCAACACAGTCTTCTCTGCCGCCTATCCCCTGATGCCAGTTGTCTGGCTGATTCTCCTCCCAGAACCTACAGATCAGAGTGTTAATGTCTCAGGGGAGAACCACAGCCAATTCCTGAGCTCAGTTCTGCTCTGTGGACTCTGTTGTTGGCAGGGGACCAAGACACCCAGCAATGACGCAGTGAATCGATCCACCCCCCGGCCACCCCTCAGAGTTCTCTACAGCTCTTGTGGCCATGGTAACGAAGGGCTTCTGAGGGCTGGGGGTAGCAACTGTCCTGCGCCTGACAGGCCAGCAAAGAGCCCAAGTCAGTCTGTGGCTCCAAATGCTGACAGCAGCAACTCCGATCTCAGTGCCCAGAACCAAAGCACGTGACACAGCACGTCCCAGGCACCCCCGAGATGGGAACGCAGGAACGGGAAGAGAGGGCAGCGGGGGTCAGTCATTAACTTCTCATGGCCCTGCTTATGGGCCTCGTCCACAGCCCACTGAGGTCACTGCCCAGACTGCAGCTGGCTCCGGCCATGTCCCCGGCCCCACAGCCTCCCCTTCCCCAGCCTGACAGAGGAGGGAGCGCAGTGCAATCCCAAGGACAGCGTGAACCTGCCGCTCACTCCAGACTCACCTGGCTGTACTGAGTTGACTTGGGGCCAGATCCTCAGCTGGTGTAAATCCCTGTGGTTCATTCAAGTCAATGCCGAGTTACCCCAGGGGAGGCTCTGGCCCCGGGTCTCAGTGGCACTGAACACACGCTCCGTGTTTAGGCTCCTGCTTTAAGCAAAGGGGCATTAGCAGAAATTCCTGAGAGGATTCATTGCTGTTGTGGCAGTGCCCGGGGGCCTCCCTCAGGATCGGGCCCGCTGTGCCGGGTGCTGCATAGACACAAGGGGGCCGTACAGACGCTGCCCGAAGGAGCTTGTGACCGAACGTGTAACAAATAATCACTTCTCTCAAGCTTTACTCACCCCCTGCTTGTGTCTTCTCTGTATTCTGTGCCATCCACCCAGCGCCAGCTGCCTTCTGTCTCCTGGTCGGTGAGTCCAATCCAGTGATCTTCTCCCTCGGTCTCATTGGAGAGAAACTCCTGCACAACACAGTTTGCAGCATGTCCAGGTCACCCAAGAGAGGCTGCAGGATGCAGCCGGAGCTGCCTGGGCTGAACAGATTTGGGGGAGAGGAAAGGGCGTCTGGTGGTGTGAGCTGGGCACTGGGCAGCGGGAGACATGGTGCCCTGCCCCCAACGCTGACAGTGACTAGCTGGGAGACCCCGAGGGAGTCCTGGAGCATCTCTGTGTCTGT